GGGGGAGGGAGGATGCCCACTCTGAGGGTCAGTGGACAGGGCAGGGGGGGACGCCCACCCTGAGGGTCAGTGGATGGGGGACACCCACTCTGAGGGTCGGGGACACCCCCTGAGTCACTGTCAGGAGACCCAGCTCACCAGGAAAGCCAGCTGTGGTGGACTGAACATCTGTCTCCCAGAGTCCACATGTGCAAGCCTGGCCCCCAAGGGGTCTGCTGGGAGGCGGGCCCTTGGGAGGTGGTTGGGAGCAGATGAGGTCAGGATGGTGGGGCCCCCACGATGGCGTAGCGTTCTCGTAGGTGTCCAGAGAGCTTCTTGAGTTCCACCCATGGCCACGTGAGGACACGGCGGAAGGGGCCCGTCCGTGACCCTCTAGAGGTCTCCCCAGAGCCTGACCCCACTGGCACCCTGACCTTGGACCGCAGCCTCCAGCACACGGGAGGAATAAGGGTCTGACCTGCCAGCCACCCTGTCCGTCCGTCCGTCCGTGGCACACTCTGACCGCCAGGCCACCGACGTGCACCCATCTCGAGCGGCTGCTCACGCAGCACGAACAGGGGTGTGGGACTCCTGAGGAGCGGGCAGTGAGGAACAGCGGCACCCGTGCCCGGTGTGTCCCCAAGGAGGCACACCCCTCCAGGCCTGGGCGGCGCATGGCGGCCCGGTGTCACGGGCAGCGGTCGCAGGGCGCCGTCGGACTTTCCGGAACAGTCCGCTCACCTGCTGCAGACACAGAAGCAGGGACAGCGCATTGCGGAGCCTGTCGTTCTGCCTCGTCCTCGTCATGGTCTCCTTGATGATGTCGCCAAAGTGATGGTAGTGCTGCGAGTCCAAGGAAAGGACCGTCACCACGGTGGCCACGGAGGCACAGACTCCTTACTACGCACGTTCCCAAATGACAAACTAAGGACGGCCGTGCGGCCCAGACCCACGGTCCGGATCCCAGCAAGTCCGTGAACGTGGATCCTGCTGTGCGCTCAGCACCAACCAGGCTGTGTCGGGGCCAGGCCCTGGGCCAGCAGGACAGAGCGCATCCCACACGACCTGGGGGAGCTGTGGCCGTCGGGCATCGCGGTCCAGGGGCACAGCTGCGCCTCCAACACTGGCTGGGCCCCTCCCTCGGGGGCGCTCCTTCTGTGGGGAAGGCAGGGCCACCGGGGGAGCTGTGGGCTGGGAGTGGCGGCAAGGCCTTTCAGAGTCACACCGACCTGCCTGTGCCAGAGGTGAGCCAGCCCGCGGGCACACAGCCGCAAGAGCTGACCAAATGTCTGACAACACACAGCCGCCGTCACGGCCCCCAGGGCCTACGGAGCGTAGGCTCAGCGCACAACTGCGTAAGAGGTAAGTCTCGGGAGAGGAGAGCACCACCCCAACACACAAGATGCAGGGGAAAACCCAGGCAAGAATGTCCCTACACCCATGCCATAAAGCTCAGGACCACGTGAAGTTAAAACAGGGAAAAGAGAAATACCGTCACAAAAATAAAACTCAGTTAAAAAGTAATCGAGGGAATGTATTTCCCACAAATAACAAAGGACTAATGTCTTCGTTGAATTACAAGGCACCAAAAGAAAGTCTTGAGATGACAATTTCTGAGAAAGGAAATGACAGTGACTGACAGATGTATCTATTCACCCACCCATCCATCCATTTATCTAACCATCCATTTATCCATTCATCTACCCAACCACCCATTTAACCACCCATCTACCCATCCATCCATTTATCCATCCATCCACCCATCTATCCACCCATCCACTTATCCATCCACCCATTTATCGATCCAACCACCTATCCACCCATCTATTCATCTGTTTACTTACCCACCCATCCATCTACCCATCCACTCATCCACCTGTCATCCGCCCATTCATCTATCCATCCACCCACCCACCCATCCATTTATCCATCCATCTACCCATCCATCCATTTATCCATCCATCCACCCATCTATCCATCCATCGATCCATCCACCCACTTATCGATCCAACCACCTATCCACCCATCTATTCATGTTTATCTACCCATCCATCCATCTACCCGTCCACTCATCCACCCATCATCCACCCATTCATTTATATATCCATCCACCACCCACCCATTTATCCATCCATCTACCCATCCATCCATTTATCCATCCATCCACCCACCCACCTATCCATTTATCCATCCACCCACCCGTGCATCCATCCACCCATCCATTTATCCATCCACCCATCTATCCATCCACCCATATATCGATCCACCCACCTATCCATCCACCCATATATCGATCCACCCACCTATCCACCCATCTATTCATGTTTATCTACCCACCCATCCATCTACCCGTCCACTCATCCACCCATCATCAGCCCATCCATTTATCCATCCGTCCACCCACACATTTATCCATCTACCTGTCCCTTTATTCATCTATCCATTTATCTATCCATCAACCCATCCATCTATTTATCCATCCATCTACCCACCCACCCACTCATCCACTTAATCCATCCACCCATTTATCAATCCAACCACCTATCCATCCATCCATTTATCTACCCACCCATCCATCTATCCATGTGCTCATCCATTTACCCATCCATGCATTCATCAAAACTTCTGGGCTTTTGTCAATACCAGGCACTGATGATAATCACTTGGGATATGTCAATGATCAAAGCCAAAAAGATCAAGTCCTTGCCCTCACAAGGCTTGCATTCAATCTCAGTACTAATGAAAGAATGAAATTAAAACAGCAATGCTTCACTGAACGAGACCGCATATTTTTAAAAGACAAAATGTGTTGTCCTAAATGAAAATACACTCTAGGAGTTAGGTTTGGGAAGAGGTGTTAGTGATATAAAAATCCTCATGAGGGACGTCTAGGTGGCTCAGTTGGTGAAGCGTCTGCCTCCAGCTCAGGTCATGATCCCAGGGTCCTGGGATCGAGTCCGCATGGGGCTCCTTGCTCAGGGGGGAGCCTGCTTCTCCCTCTGCCTGCTCTGCCTACTGCTCCCCCTGCTTGTGCTCTCCCTGACAAATAAATAAATAAAATCTTTAAAAAAAAGATTCTAAAAATGCTTATGAGGCACTCACAGGGATGCCACCCACACGCGCACACAGGTGGGCTCATCCACGGGAGTTGGTGAAGGAAACGGGAGAACGAGTTAACGACAATGAGTCCATAAATCTGGGTACTTTCCACTCATGTTCTCCGTGCATTTGGAATCTTTTACCCCAATTCTGTGTCTTACACAAGAGAGCAGTGGGCGGGGGAGGGTGAGCTCAGGCCGCGGGGACGGGAGAGCCAGGCAGAGACCTTCAGGTAGAACTGGTAGATGTCGGCGGCCGCGCTCATCTCCAGCACGTTGCAGACGATGAGCTTACAGAACACGGCCAGCATGTTTCTCCTGTGGAACAGCTCATGCAGCTCGTCCGCATCCTCCTCCTTGTAAACTCTGCTGGGACCTGGAGAGACAGCCCACTCTCTGCCGTGTCTTCCTGCGGCCCCCCTTGCCGTGGGGCAGCCGTGGGGCAGGCAGGGGCATGCAGGGCACAGCAGGGAGTCTGATCCAGGGGCTCAGGGGTGCCAGCGTCGTCTCCGGGAACCAGCGCCAGGACAGCAGTGGGTAAGAACCACCACTGGACATGCTGACCCCCAGAGCACAGACCCAGGGCCACACAGGAAGCACCGAGTGCTGCAGGGTCCCTGTGTCTCCAGGTCCTGACTGCCTGGTCAGAGCTCCCCCCGACCCTTCTGTGGCAGCATGAACCGAGAAGACAGACGCGTGGGAAATGCAGCTCCAGATCCCAGGGTGCTAGAGCACCCCACAAGGCCCGTCCACCTCCCACCCCAAGCCCCCACGGGCCCTCCTGCACCTGGGCTGCCGCAGGTATCCCCACTCAAGGGTCTCTCCCCCTTCCCTGCCCCAGGCCCCTGGGAGGCTGACCTGCGGCTCCTGTGTCCTCCAGGAACACGTGCTCCCTGACAAAGGTGAGCAGCTTGCACTGCAGGACGTGATCGGGGACGAAGAACAGTAGCCCCAGGCCCTTGTCCTCCTCAGGGCCCTGGTGGCTCAGGATGAGCAGCAGGTCGCAGAGCAGGATGAAGGCCTGAGGGGGTGTGAGGGGGTGGGGGTGAGGGGGCACCGACAGGGACAGGCATCCACCCCACAAGGACAGATCCCGTCTGCTGCCCCCGCAGCCTCCCAGGGCAACCCAGGGATGGGTAAGACCCATAGCACAGGGAGGGGTACAGCATCCGGCCCCTCAAAGACATCGCCCCTCTGAACCCCACCCTGCAAGCTCTACACCAGAAACACACAACACAAAGACGTACAACATACAAGCGAGAAATAACCACAAACACACAAACCAGAAACAACACACACACAGTGAACGGGAATGTCCCCAACATCCAGGCAGGAGAGCGGTGCGGCCAAGGCCATGGCCAAAGCCCCATGGACAGGAAACCATGGACACATACTTGTGACTGAGGGGGGCAGGGGCAGGGTCACAGGACAGAAGTCAGTGGCTGGGAAAGGAGACACACGCTCAACCTCCTCAGCCATCAATGGTCAAACGGGAGGTGGGTTTTATCTAAGACAACGGGAGAGGATCTTTTTAAAACTCACACCCGCGTCGGAAAAAAGCAGGTGGGCAACTGAGCCCGTAAGGTGGCAGGAAGCAGGGGGGCTGGGTCCGGCATCGTGAAGCCTTTAGAACGGCTTCCCCGGAGACAGGAGATGGCCCTGAAGATTTCGTGTACCGCAACCACCAGAGACACGGTGGGCAGGAATTAACACCAAGCGTGTCCACCACCAGAGCAGTGGTATCCGATGACAGGAGCTCCCGCCAGGCTGGTATAAACGGGCTGTGCACATGGGCTCCCGTAAACCGGGGCCATGAGCGCGACTCCGGGCTCCCGTCAACGGGGGCGTGCACGCAGGCTCTGCGCTCCCGTCAACGGGGGCGTGCGCGCGGGCTCTGGGCTCCCGTCAACGGGGGGGAGGTATGCACACGGGTTCCCATAAATCGGGGCGTGCAAAGGCATGCAAACCAGTTCATATAAATGAGATGCTCCCACGACTCTACACCGCTCGAGGACAAATGTCACCCTATGAGACACACTGAGAGGAGAAAACAGCATCACATGAAACGCCAAGTGCCCTGATCATCACAGGCACACGTGCATGGGCGTCTCTAACGCCCCTCCTCTTGCTCGGCCAGCCCTGGGGGCACCCGGTGAGCACAGAGAGGGACTCACGCACCTTCTCACTCAGCACCTTGCTCTGGTGGTTCAGGTACACGCGGCAGACCAGGCAGAACTTCATCAGCCTTTTCCTCAAGTCCAGGAGCGCCTCCTGCCAGCGAGCAGCCAGCGTGCAGGTGCCTCCCGTCAGGTGAGCCCGTGAGTGAGCTCGCCAGGTACCTGCCCGCCTCAGGTGAGCCAGGGCGTCAGGTGCATCCCAACACAGATTAACCCTCACGTGCACCCTCCCTCCTCCATTTCCCAACCTCCCCCCAATCCCCCTCCCCCAC